CTGGGATCTTTAGGTGGGTTGGCTGGATCTGTAGATGAGATGATTAATGCTCTTTAAGCAACACATTTCCTGCAGCTGCCTTATAATTGAATTATGGGCTTTGTGCACTCCTGAAACTCACATCCTCCTGCCACAGCATCTATAGCTGTGTATTGCAAGGAGGGGCTTGCAAGAAAATGTTAAGAGATAATAATAATTGCTTACACTTACATAGTGCTTTTCTGGACACTCCACTCACAGAGCGCTATACAGGTAATGGGGATCCCCTCCACCCCCACCAGTGTGCAGCCCCGCTTGGTGAAGATGAACACCCAGAACCCAGAACAGCTTGTAAACAGCTTGTAAAGTGGTCAGGACCATTTTTACTTGTCCCCCCTCCTCCCCTCCTTCTCTGAGGGGGTCCAGGGCACCTCTCTGTCCTCGGTACAGGAGGGAGCTCATAATTCAGGGAATGGGGGCGTTTTTAAAATCATCCTCTCGCCATCCGCTCCAAGGTCGTAAAATTTTAAGACCGGGAGTGTGGGAGCAGGGCAGGTCCCTTCTTCTTTACATTCCGAACTCTGATCCCTTCCTGCCGCTTGGCTGAAACGCCGAACACAGGAGCTCAGGCCCCTGTTGCTGCGGAATCCCGGCTGGAGAGCAGCGGAGGGAAAAGAGAAAAGGGAGACGCCGGGAATTCGCAGTTGTGACCACCTGATCAGTGATCTTGCCAGCCAGACTGGGCCCTGGGAAGGTTATGCATTCGACTTCGAAACTGATGCTTTCTCTACGTGTTGAAACTAAAAACATCTTCAGTGTTCTCGGAGAAAGAGCCGACGCCGCAGCAGCCCGGTAACCGGGAGCCGGGCCGGGCTGGGGTCCGCTGTCTTAACACCCAGGCCTGTGCAGAGCCACAGCCAGACAAAATCCAGTGCTTTCCTATTCCCTTTAGAGACAAGATGGTTTTGTGTAACAGCTGCCCTTAGAAGGGGGTGGGGGTTACAAGGTTTGTCAAGGGTTTCATGAAGTGAAAGTGCAAAGCACACCATAGGTGTGATTAAATAGGTTCTGCAAGAGTACAGGTCCCAGTAGTTGTGCCCTGTGGGAAGTGAGCCCAGGGCTTCCCAGTTACCCTACAGCACCCTCAACACCATTATTCAAACATAAAGACTTGAGAGGAGAGTTCACACAGTAGGTTTGGCGGGTCATGTACTGAATTTAAAGAGCCGGTCGTTGACGTCTGTGTGCTTTAATAGAATCTAGACGTAACACTGGAGACTTTACAGTTAAAAACGCACGAATCAGTGTCTCAGCGTCGGCCAGCTGCGGTCGCCGGCAATTCCTGCCTCGTGGACTTTTGACAAGTAATGACGTGATCTTGACGCAATTCGGCTGCGTCGTGTTTACTGAAGGTCCCCACCCCCCCATTCCCACTCATTCGTGTTCCCTGGGAGCTCTCGCGTACTGAGGCGAGAGGAGTATCCTCATATTTCGCCCCAGGTTATTAATAATTAATGACGGCAGCCTGTGGCGCTGGTGGTTGTGCACGGGCGCACAGATAACTACGTGACGCGGACGAGCTGGCCTGTCCTCCTGCCCCGCACATAAGGAAAAGGCTGGAGTAGGCGCACGCCTGTTGAATTGTTCTTAAGGGGGGCGGCGGTAGACGGCGGCGAGCGGTTATATCCGGATGCCCCGCCCCCCGCGCTCTCTGACGCCTCATGAATATTGAATGAGCTCGAGGGAGGAGGGCGGTCTGTTGCGCTTTACGGCGGCGCGTGAGCGTGTTGGAAATGGTAGCAAGATGGCGGCGCTGAAGGAGGACCAGTGCTACGGGCTGTCCTGTGGAAGAGTGAGCAACGGCAGCAACGTCTCCGTCTTTCACGTTAAGCTCACTGACAGCGCCTTAAAAGCCTTCGAGGGCTATCAGAGCAGCAAGGTAAGGGGGGATTTGGGTCCGCCCGTCCTCCGGACTTCGCCTTCAGACTTGGTGTGCTGCGCTAGGCAGGGGGGAGAAGCCTGTGTCTCCTAACGCGGCTGCTGCTGCCGTGGGGTCTGTGGGGCTCTGCGGGGTGAGGAGCGGGTCGGCGGTGCCGCACCGGAGCCCATCCGCCTCTCCAGGAGGCCCGAGCCGCGGGGCTGCGGGCGAGGGGGAGATGCGTCTCTCCGGGGTGTCGAGCCGCCGCCGCCGCCGCCGCCGCCGCGCACGGCTGGCTGGTCGGGTGTAGGAAGAAATGACTCCTACAGCCAGGGGGAAAAAAAAACAATCTTTTTTTTCCCCCCTCCGCTTTTGTCCGGTGTTTGAGATCCGCGAATGAACGTCCCTCGAGTCGGAAAGGTGGTGCAGTTTTAGTTGAGACGGTGGGATGGGGGGGTGGTTGTTACTGCCCGACGGTGGGTGCGGGGAGGGGGGGGAGACTTGAGCGCTCAGGACGAACTGTTCCGACTTGTGCTGTACTTGTAGGCGCTGCTTGCGGTCCCAAGTAGAGGTGAAAACTAACTTTATAGCTCGGGCGTCTCGACAACGGCCGTTCGGCTGCCGGCCCGGCTGTTGCAGTCTTTCAGTCCAACTTCTGTCGGAGACGCTCGTCCTCGGTGTCGTAATTACTGGGCTCCTGTCTCCCAACGCCAAACCAGTTTATCGCTTGAGACTTCCGGGCAAAATGACCGAGGGCTTTACTGATCAAATAGCTCCGCCAAAACAACGATAACCCCCCCACCACCACCACCAAAAACAACAACAACAACAACAACAAAAAACGTTTTCCACCGCGTTCCTTTTATGACTTCTGTGTAAGATGTAGCAACAAGTTGACGATCCCCCCCGCAGCCAGATAAACAGCGCCAGGAAGTGGCTTGTAGTTTGTGTGTGTTTTTTCTGTACGCCCGACCGCAGGCTGACGATTCGTGTGTGTGTGTAGTCAGACCATCAGACAGGTTATACAGAGGAGTACATGTCGAGGACGGCTCGGTCGGTGGGCTGGATTAGAGGAGAATAAGACGACACGAATCGCATTGCCCTCGGGGTTGGAGAGGCGTTCTGTAGCAGCAGTGCTGTGTTGCTTGCGGTTAGGCTGCCAGAAAGGCCTGTTTCTTCAGGATTTTTAAGTTCACTCACCCCCCCCAACACGCACATACACGCACACAATGAAGTTTTCCTTTGGAAGCCAAACTTTTCACTTTCGTGATGTCATTTCTCAGACCTCTTACGCGGCTGTCAGAGACAATTTCCAGCTTGCGCCGTCATTGTTTGGAAAGTGGCCTGAAACGCAAACACATACATGCATACCTGACCTCCCTCTGGCATCTGATTCCTGTGCCCCCCCCCCCCCCCCAGGAGAAATGAACGCAGACAAAAGTATTCTTACCCGTGTGGGAGATAAGACATTGTTCAGCGTGGAGCAAATGCAATGAATTTAAGATGTTAATGTCTCACTTGGTTTGACTTGGTCTCACCTTTGCATGCTGTTGTTATTCGTGATATATAAACATGATGCATCCTGCCAAAAAGGGTGAAGCGTTTCTGTAGTTTTGGAAGAGAGGCTGGCTCAGGTCCAGCCGGGTGATACTCCGCTGCAGTGAGTTTCCTCAGACAGGTTTCAGTTGTGCTGGGGACCCGTCTGAATCCTTCCAGTTGAAGAGAGTATCCAGTGGCTTCTTATTAATGAGTCTCTTCTCTTTCAAATTCTTCCTCTTCAAGGCAGAGGTGCCAGGATGTCTGTCTTTGGGTGGATTGTCCCAGCATTCTTTCTTGACAATCCCCACCACTTCCTCCTGTGCCCCGTCTCGGAGACGCGTCATTTTAACTGCTTGGTGCATTAGTGTGGTTTGGGCCTCGCCGAGGTAAAACCGGAATATAGCCGTGTTCTGTACAGTTGCTTGCTTCAGGCGTTGCTGGGGTGGGGTCATTATCTTTATAAAGGCTTCATGACTGACCTGAGCTGCTTTCTGGAAAAAGTTTGAGAAGCTGGGGAAGAAGGAAGGCGGTTGTGAGGTGTGGGCCTTATATCCAGCTCTGCTTGGTCCCACAGATCTAGGATAAGCAAAAAAAAAAGTAGTTATGTTGTGCACCTGATTATGGCAGTGTTCGAAGGGATTTCTAGATGTATCCCAAGATCCATAAATGCCTAAAAACACAAGGCTTCAGCTGTTTTTAGGCATAGCTGGCTGATCTTTGATTCAAGTCCTGGGCCAGAAATTTATCAGGAGGCACAGACTTCATACTTTCAAAATAAGATAACGGGGCATTGGTGTGAAAAACAAACATTCTGCTGTTTAGTCTCTCAATAGAGTCCCTACAGAATCCCATTTTAATGGACAAATGCACAATTTTGTATAAATAAGAAAGCAGAACCTCTTGATTTTAATGGGTTGTTGTTTTTTTTTTACTTGCCCATGACATGTCTTAAGTAAAAGAAACGTGGGTTAGACTCTTCCATAAACTGGTCTCCATCATGAAGTTGTTAACCATCCGAAACCAAGGGGTGTTTTTTCCTGTTTCCTAGTGGGCAGTAATGAAAGGTTTTTTCTGTGTCAGGTTTTGTTAAGCTTTATCGTACAGGCCACCCAGGGCCAAGTCTGGGGGCATACACGTGTTGTTTCACCTACATGGTTTGTGCTGTGCATCATGGATTGAGTAACACTATGCTATGCGTAGCTGCATGCCGTTCATTGATTTGTTTGTGAATTGTGGAACAGTACAAGTTGTACTCGTTTTGAAAATGTCATCCTGTTCTTCTTATGAAGCATTCCCCTCTTGATGTGCCCCTACACATAGTGTACAGCTATTCACTGCACGGATCATATTGAATCAAATCTTTGACACATTGTCAAAAACGTGTGCCTCGATACAGAAGTGTATATCATAGTTCCCCCTACATCAACTCGGCATTAAGGATTACAAGTACAGTAATCAAAATTGTATGTAACCTTCCGTTAAGGGAAATAACGAACACTTGGCTGTATAAAAATTTCCTTAATATAGAACACATGCCTTTTGTACATTGTGATCATTGGGGGAAGATTCTGTTGAATGGAGCAGGCGGTCCTTCCAGCATGTCGAGAGATTAAACTGTTGTCAAATGGGCTGATGGTGAATGTTTTTTTTTTTCTGCTTGGCGCCGATAAGAGAGGATTTCAACACTTGGCAGCGATGTACGTTAGTGATGAGTCGTGGTTCTCCTGTGCTAGACGGGCACCGAGATGCCAGGGTTTCAGCTCGTAGGCTGAATGATCTGTGCCATCCGTGGTGGTGGGTCTGTGCAGGAGTACAGGCTGTATCGTTGTAGTTTCGTGTGGCACATATCGGCCCTCTCCACAGCCAACTGACACATGGGCGTGGGCTGAGTCACCCCTTCAACTTCTGCGTGTTTGTGTTTGTAGAGGAGGACGGGGGTGAGAGAGGTTCTGTTCTTTGCACATCTGGTCAGCTCTACAGGTGCCTTGTGAGCTACCAACATCTTTTAAATAAGCTCAGATCCCAACGGGCTTAACCAGAAATGGCATTTCCCCTGATTGTAGGCTGAAGCCTCTAGTGCAGCTGTCACAGGTTCAGAACAGGGCTGTATCAGTATTCAGCTGTAGTGGGACTGGGATTTCCCAGACAGCGGTGCCCAGTAGGCTATTGCCTACTGCACAGTAGCTGATGTTGGCAGAAGAGTTCACCTGGGCACCTGTGAGCTTGCAGTGACGTCGCAGACAGACGCTAATCTTCCAGTCATGCTCTGTATCTTGCGGCTTGCGTGATTGTGAGTTGGATGGGCTGTGGACGTGCCAGAAGAGTGCATGTACAAATTCCTCTGCTCCTCCTTCCCACCCCAAGTGCAGGTTAATAGGTTGCTGCTGAGATGACTTATGGTTGCTGATTCAAATTAGGGTAGAACAGTTTACTCAATCACGTTGCTGGTTATACTCTGATTTCTCTCTCACAAGTGGTTTTGGCCTTTCGTGAAAAATGCCAGAACAGTCAAGGGTTTAACCCCTTGGCTTTGTGCATTTTCAGATGTATTGTATAGATCGTTATGTCTTTCATTTGACTGGAATTGTAGGTACTCATTTGCCCGTTGCATTGCTAAACTGCAAATAAATCTCTGTTCCCTGCTCCCTTTTCGTCTTCCTTGCCAGTTGCCTTTAAACCACATGCCCTGAGAACTTCCAGAACTGAATGCGTTTTCAATGCTGCTTTTTTCCCCATTAGAAGGCTTTGAATATAATCTGTAAAAAAAAAAAAAAAAAAGCATTTTCTGCAAAGAGAAGCATGATCTTATCTTGGGAGACCAGTGAACTTTCAACTCAGCCCCTGTGGATTCTGCCCTGTAGTGTGGAGCCCTGAGAGGTTAAAGGTCAGAGTCTCACATGGGGAGCTGATCATGTTGAGGCAGATCCCTGTGAAAGCAAGCCTGGCAGACGTGGGGGGATTATCACAAAAAGAGGGGGGGGGGGGGAAGGCATAGGAGGTCACTACTCTAGTGATCGTGCTAGCCCATTGAGTGACCCTTTCTGAACTTTAGAGTAGTGAAAGTACTGTCCAGTTATTGGCACCTTATTTTTTGTACATCGTTTAGATTTTCTGAGAAAATGGCAGTCATTTATTTAGTGGGGAAAGTACAAGTTGTGTGTCTTATTCCCTCCAGTTTGAAAGACTTGAGTCTTACTGTGAGGAAGCGGTATCGTGTGTTAGTCATACCTGTTATGTATGTAAAAAATCGCCGTGGATTACTTTATTCTGCAGCCTGGTCTTTGTCTTTAGATTGTTTTGTTTTTGATAGAGACGAATAAGAACACATTTAACAGAGGTGACTGAAAAAACAGTCTTCCCTTCGTATACCTTCTACTCTATGAATAGGCCTTGGGCCTGGCAGAAGACAAGTGTGGCATTCAAGAGAGTCACCACTGTAATTTGGATCGAAACTAAGAGCCCGAGGTGGCGATGTATGAGGG